GCGCCGCGGCGCCGGGAACGCGCGGCGCCGGGAACGCGCGGCGCCGGGAACGCGCGGCGCCGGGAACGCGCGGCGCCGGGAACGCGCGGCGCCGGGAACGCGCTCCTCGCGAGGCTCCCCCGTGCCCTGGGCGTGTGGCTCGTCCTGTGCAACCTGTGCCGCGCGCCCTCAACAGCAGAAGCGGGAAGCAATAACACGGGAAAACGGTGTTGCCTTTGATAAGTTGTGTGCTGCTGTGGAGAAGGTAGCGACACGCCTAACTTTGCTTTTGAAGCGGTGTGTGTCCAATTAACTTTTACTAAACTAGTACGTTTCAGAGTGATGATGCTCTCTGTCCATGAGAGCCTGTTGCTGCTTGTCCAGGTAAGGCAGCTAACTGGGGAACTTAATCCACACCTAAGAGGTTTGCTACTGATGGGAATGAACAGGTTGAGGTTTCTGCCAGGATACCTCTGGATATTTTAAGGACTTGGTTCTATTTCATTTAATGGTGAATGTTTTATTTTCCAGGAAACATTTCAGTATACTCTCTTTAAATGGGCAGAAGAGCTAGATTCCCTAGCACGGATTCAAGATCTATTTAACTGTTATGAACAGGCACTTGAACTGTATCCCAGTGATGAAGTGATATGTAACAGTATGGGAGAACATCTTTTCAGGTTTGTAGTCATCTACATTTGTTTTTCAAAGGCTTACCATTGTGTATCAATAAACACTGCCCAGTTTGGCAGAGCACAGAAAATGTGCTTGAAGTAAATGCAAATATGTGTATGCTGCTATACAATTAATACTGCATTTCACGTATTTGTCAGATCTAAAAAATAGACTAGGTGACACCTCTCAAGTGAGTAAGAAAGTCACATACCCCTACAGTGAGTTTGAGCTTATATTTTTATATAATAGGAGAAAGCATTCTTTTCCTGCTTTCCCCAAAACTTGTTAAGTATGATACTCTGTTGCTTTGGCTCCTAAAGTCTTTCAAGAATGGAGTTGGAGATTAAAAACATCTTAAAAAGGAATCACAAGTTAAACATGTTCAAAACTGTTTAGAGCTGAGATCTACCATTTCAAAGGGCAACTCTCCCATCATATTTCAATATGTTCACTTGGGTTTTATAAATTGTTTTTATTACTGTCTGATTTCAGGTGATGCAATAGGTATTATTAAAAGAAATGCTTCAATTTAAAATTTTGCAGTTAATAAACACCAGCAACTCAGGACTCAATTGTTTCACAACATGTTCACCTTAAATACAGTAAAACAGCTCTAGATTTTATAGCATTTCCTTGTAATGAATCACTCTGAGACTGGATAGTTGAGTTGCTGCTGCTGTATTATTGCAGAAAGCCCTTGTAAAGCCTATTCTAGTTTGTCAAAATGCAATAATGAATGAAGACTGGTGCACCCAATGACTTTTTTAACTACTTTGTCACTTAAAATGTTTTGCTGCAGAGCTGCAAGTGATTGTTTCACAAACTAGTATCAAGTCTATTATTTTAAAGGAGACTTTAGATTAAAAAGTGTATTTTCATTGTTTTACAGCTGGTTTAGGACCTTCTTTACAAGTCCACAAATATTTGGCAACTAAATCAGTTCTCTTCATTTGTTTGTCACTTTTACTATTAGAATGGGCTTTAGAGATGAGGCAGCTGGATATTTTCACAAAGCAGTGAAGCTTAACCCAGACTTTGCTGATGCGAAGGAGAACTTCTACCGAGTTGCCAACTGGCTCGTGGAACGTTGGCACTTCATCATGCTCAATGACACCAAGAGGAATCTTACTTACCTAAAAGCAATAGAGAATGTGGTGCACTCTGGGTGCAAATCTGTTCTTGATATTGGAACAGGAACAGGAATCTTGAGGTATGTCCTTGGTATGTGTTAAACATGGACCTAACTAATAAAAAACAACTTACTGTCTAACAAATATATAAACTTCACCTGGGTGATAGTAGAATGTCAGTGGTTTGCTGTATAACTTTTAGGCTAAAACTTAAGGAAAGAACTCCAAAGTAACTGAGTTTTGAGGTCAAGGTCTAATGGTATTTGTGGGACAAATATTTTCACTCACTGTATATTTTCTGTGTTAAGAACTGCTCTTCATTGGGGAGAACTTGCATTTGTTCTGGAGCAGTAAGGTTATGTATCTTCTCCCCAAGTATGAAGAATGATATATAGCAATTTTTAGTGAGGAAGGTTAAAGATGTTGATGAAAATGTTGTAAATAATAGGGTTGACAGAGCTGAGGACAGTTTCTGCCCTCTCTATCTTTTGGGAGCAGTAATTTTGTATATCAAGGTAATGCCAACTTGTTCAGTGTCATTGTTTATATAGAAGATATTTCACTAGATGTTTGGCCCTGAGCTGTTTTCTTAGAGCTATGAAGTAGCAGTTACAGAATTAGAAATTGGGTAAGTTTGGTATCTATTCATACTTTACCTAAAATGATGTAAACTGAAGTCTAAAAATTGTCCTGATTCTTTTTTCAGTATTTTTGCAAAAAAGGCAGGAGCACCTTATGTCTACGCCTGTGAATTGTCAAAAACCATGTATGAACTTGCTTGTGATGTGGTGGCAGCGAATAATATGGGAAGTGAGATCAAAATTTTTCATTTGAAGTCTCTTGATCTAGAAATTCCAAAACATATACCTGAAAGGTACGTTATACTGTAATGTGAGACTGTTTTTAATTTCATCATCTTTCAAGAAAGTTAAAAACATCCTGTATTGTAAATAGAAAGTAGTTCTGATCATGATATTTAAACAGAATCTTAGACAACCTTCTAAGTTCTGTGCTTTCTATAAAGCACTGCAGAAATGAGAGCATGTTTTAGCATTGACTTAACACAATTAGTATGATGCTAAGTGCTTGAATTCTTTGAAGACAGGAGTTTAGGGGCATATCCCGCTATATTACAGCAGAGAAATTGATCTATGTAGCTTTTTCATGTCTGCTCTGTCATCTCTTCTAGGTTAGCTTTCATCAAGCTACTTTGGTATAATTCTGTATTGACCAACTTGTGGCTCTCTTGTCCATTCAGCTTGTAGACTGCAGGCCTATAATAGGACCTGCCAAGGTGCCTATCAGGAAGAGTCTACCAAACATCTGTAACTCTGTCAGCTGTTGTGCTGAGTGGGGATCAGAAATGGCGAGTTAACAGCCTTTTCTATGATCAGGGTCTGAGGGAAAACCACCCCACACTTGGTACTAGAGCCCCACTGTATTTGGAGGTGAGAAGGAAGCACTTGTGGTGGGCTGATGGGCACTGTCCCCAAGTTAGCGTCTGGAAGGTCGTGAGAGGTGATTCTAGCTGTGTCAGCACCCTGCCTTGGGATGGGTCTGTTGAGTTTTGAGAGTGGCTTTAGATCCTTGCCTGAAGTGAAAAATCTGTGCAGGAGTGTTGCAACTTGTCCTGGCAGAATAAGCTTTTGTGTTTACATTGTACGCTTTAATACAGCTGCCTAACACAGAGTCATGTACTTGGGCAAACTAAATCACTTAGAATATAAGTTTATAAAGAATCATTTTTGGTAATCAGTAAGATCTCTAAATTCAATTGATAATTATGTGTAACTATATCTTTGTAGCTGCAGTTTCAAACCTTCTTACAGTTCTTTCTGGGGTGTGGGGGGTATTTTTTCTCCTCTCATAGTTCTGGTTATCTTTATTAGAAGGTAGTGCCTTGTGGATATGATCTGAAAGAAATGATTGGTGATGAATTAATATCTTCTAAAGCTACTGGGCCAAGCCATTGACTTGAAATTGCATTTGTAATATTGCATTAAGTTTTAATTTGCCAACTAATCTAGGCTTTTTATGCCACCCTTTTCTCTGCTCATCTTCTCATCTGGATGAGTTTCTTCAGGAAGATTTTTTTTTAGCAAAAAAAGTGTCTGCTGAAATTGAGTGATAGAGGAAGGAATAGATTATGTAAAGCACTTTTATATTTCAGTTCAGTGTTAGAGATGCAGATGAAATATATGGGTGGGAAATAATCCATTTTACTGCTACAAGTTACTATAACTTAATGCCCGTGGTGATAGTATAGGCCCATAACTCGAAATGGGGAAGCTGCCTTAATTTAGCATGCCAGTGAAGCATTGTTTTATTGAGCACATGCGCATGACCTGGTCCTGTGTGTAAGCTCACAGGAATACTTGTTAATGTTGGGGAAATGCTCTTACTGGTGTGCCCGTCCCATATACTTCCTGCTTTTTAAATGAGATGGGATCAGCTTGTCTGCATATTACTTTGTGTTTTGGTGAAAGTAATAGGAGAAAACTATATAAAACTGCAACTTCTTGCATGCTTTTATTGTGTGATGGGGGCAGAATGTAACTGTTGGAGCTGGGAAAAGGGAAGGGGATTTATGTCTATGTGTACATTCATGCTCTCACATAAAATCCAAACAAAATAAAATCTGGAGCATCACTGGCTGTATGCCCAGACTTGAAACATTCTCCTATTTAGCTTAGGTTCTCCCTGTGTATAATAAATTATTTATAAACACTTAACTGAGAAGCTTTGTTAGCTTTTACCTACATCTTGACTAACTTGTAACAACAATTCCAAATACATTGTTTGCTTAAAGGGTCTTTTTGCCCATCTGCACTAAAATATTACAAGGCTATGAACACTGAGTTCTGCGCTGAGCTTACACTTTGGATTTTAACATTTAAGGAAAGTCTGTTACAGTCTGTGAACAGGAGTATTTAATATATTTTCTCCTTTATGTAGGGTTTCCTTGGTTGTCACAGAAACTGTTGATGCTGGTTTGTTTGGAGAGGGCATTGTGGAGAGCTTGATACATGCTTGGGAACATCTGCTCTTGCCACCAAAGGTAGGAGATGTAGATCTTGTATGTATTTGTGTGTATTAATGTATATGCACACATGCATGTGCGCAGGAGGATGTCTTTAGCAGGTACAGAATATTTTTTAAAAAGTAGTTTTTTTTCTATAATTTTGGTGAAAGGAGGTTGTGGCACCTGCGTGTGCTGGAGTGAGTTGCTGCTCTGACTAGAGAAGTACGTAAAATGCTTGTTTTGATGCTGCCTCTCAGTGGGCAACATAAAGGAGATGATTCATGTCTCATCACTGTTCTTAAACCTCCAATGCTGCTCACCAAGAAGATATGTTACAGGCACTAATCCTCCACAGGGTGGATTGAAACAGTCACTTTTATATTGAGACATGTAAGTGGGCATAGGAAGATCTCATCAGTCTAAGCAGGAAGTATTAAATTACAGCAGCAATAAATTACACTAACATTAGACAGCACAAACTGGTAAATATGCCATATGCTTATACTCTTATTTTTGCAAACTGCTTGGACTTTTTTCAAAACTAAACAATTCCACTGGTCTATATTTTATGCTATGTGTTCTGTCTTTAATATACAGTGAGTCATACAACTGTCGTATTATTTGAACTCAAGCCAATGTAACACCAAGGACAGAAGTGCTTATTTCATCAGAACGAAATAGATGTTAATGTAATAAGGAAGTCTTATCTCGTGGAAAGGTTCTGTATTATTTACCTGGAACTGCTGACCTCTAGTGTTAAGAATTGTATATCAAGGAAGAGTCCTTAAACTGAATATTCCCTAAATGGGAGCAAATTAAAATACAATTGAAAAAAAGTACGTAGGGCAACTAGTAGCCTGTAAAACAGATCCGATATGCGAATATATTGAAATGCACTATGTGAGACACTGCTTGAATAGTGTAGACATCTGGGGAAACACAGTCACTGGGAATTTCTACTGAGGTTTTTTTCCTGTCATAATGAATGACTCGTAGTAATACTAACTTAGGATTTGCTCTAGTGATATACAGTAAGACAGTGACTTCTATTACTGTTTATGTTTCTACAGCCTAAAAATCAAGATATTCCTCCTAAAGAATATGGCCAAGTTATTCCTGCAAGTGCTACAGTATTTGGAATGGCAGTAGAATGCAAAGAGATACGTAGACATCACAGGTATATCTGTACTGTTATAGTTTAAAGCCATACCTATGTGAGAGGGAGAGAGCAGTGGTTTTAATGGGAGGATTTTTTTATTCTTACTAGCTGCTTGTCTTTCTCTTCTCTTCCTCATGTAGGTATATTCTGTGCCACCATCATTAACCTTACCCTCCTTCCTTTACTTTTGCCTATGCTTTTTTTGGTTCAAGCCTTCTGCATTACTTCATTAGAAACTCTATTTCCTGTTTTGCTGAAAGATGCTTTTAACACATACTAAGGAAATACACAGTTATAGAAGTACCTCTATTTTTGGAATATAGAACAGAATAAATTTCAAGTTCATTATTCATAACAAGGTATATTTATGCCTTAAAGTGATTGCTACTGTTGCTTCCAGGATTTAAGCAGAACTTAAATTTTATCTTGTCTACTATAACTTTGAATTGTCTAGTTAATCTATTCTGATAGTATAGTTTAAGGTCAAAAGGTAAGCTGGGCTGGTGACTTCTCCAGATGAGTTATTTGGGAAGGAAGTGAAATGCTTGATGCTATCTGTTTTAAACTTTCTGACTTTTATTTTAGTCAAGAACCTTTTTGTTTTCATAGGAATGACTGTTGTAACTCAGTGCTCCTCAGTGAGTGCTAAACTCTACTTGCAGAAATGGCCTAGTCTCATATTTAAACTGTCCAGATCACTTTGACTTCTGATGTGTATATCTTCTTATTTCCCTAAGCTCTTTCATAATCTACATCAAAACTCCTGTATTTATGATGCTCCTTCAGAGGAGGATGCCTAATGAAATAACCATATGAAAGTATCTCTTTCCTTCTGCAGTTCTTGTAGCCTAGCAGTGGTTGTTTTATTCTTGTTGTGCATTTAATACAATTTCAGTTTGAGTTTAGAAACTGAGTGCTTATGCTAACTGCATTCCAGACACCTGTATGAATAGTTGAGACTTTAAGTTCGTTTTTCATTTAATCTAGTATCAAGTACTCATTCAGCTTACTGAGGAGGCAGTTTCCTTTTAGTCTTGACGCTGATGACTTTGAGGATGACAGTTCCTACTTCTAATACTAATTTGTTGGTACCTTTATTGCTTAAGTAGCACTACATTTCTATGGTACTAGAAAGTCTCCTGAAACGCTAAGTAAATGTTTTTCCTTGTATTTCTACTTTTGGTACTCTCAAGACACTTATTTACTACCTTTTGTAACTTTTTAAACTGATGTTTTAATGATCTTGCTAATGACATTTAATATGTACTTGGTACTGCTCGAACCCACTGTCTGTGTTTCCTAGGGTTGCCCTGGGCCTTGACTGGTCGGATTCCACATTCTCCTGAGGTCACTGCACACTGTCGGATCAGTTTGAAGTGTGTGTTCTTTCAAAAGAACAAATGATCTGACAAACTTTTGAGATGACTTAAGTTCTTTCAAAAAAAAAAAAAAGAAAATCCCCGGAACTCTTAAGATATTGCTGTATAGTAGATATAATTTGTTAGATTTAGATTAGTTTTCTTTCAAGGGACATATTACAACAGTTAGGGAATATTTTAGAAGAACAAAATTTTCTTCTTGCAGTGGTATGTTTGCATCTAGTTATTTAGAATAAAGTATACTGGAAGATGGGCTGCTGTGCTAGTCACTGTAGACGTACAGCTTTCATTTTTAATGTAATCTTTTAGTGCCATTTGACTCCACAAAAAGAGAAAGCCAGTAAAGTGTTGGACTTCCGTGCTTGCATCTTAAAGCCAGCAGAATTCACTGTGGTTATCTGTTCACCTCTTCCATGATACTGCCTTACACAGAGACTTACATTTTGCTTAAAGTCTTTTTTTAGAAAAAAAAAAAAAACCAACAATTCTAAGTAAGAGAAAGATACCTTCATCTTTGTTATTAAAATACTTAAAAGACAAAATTCTAACTGTAGATGACATTGCTGGCACCTTGGTGTTTTAATATCTACTCATGTCACAGTTAGCATTTTGTGCCTCCTGCATGTCATCAGACTTTTATTGTAGAAGATCCTGCTCCAAAGATGTAGCCTGATTTGTTTCTATATTTTGTCTATAATTGTTTTTTTTAAAAAAAAAAAAAAGCTGCAGGAGACTCCTTACTAATTTTGCTACTGAAAGCTCTCCTAGATCAAGGAGATAACTATACCTGACACAAGTATTGCAGACAGCCTGGTCTAGTCAGCTGTAGGAAGGTGTCTTGCAGTTCCTAGAAGAGTGATTCAGAATTAAAAATAGCTTTAGAAATGTAAGATAGTTGTCACTGGAACTCTTGAGTGCCAGCTCCCTGTAAGAATGTAGATTTTCATGGTAGCTGTTACTTAAGAAGTGAATGCTTCAGGCAGACACCCTCTTCCAGAACTCTGAAGTGCAGTTGTGCAAGACCTCTGTCTCAGCCAACTTGACTGACACCCTAAAAACAAGAATATATCTGACTCTTCAAACTTAAAGCACAGTAGTTTTAATGCAGTCAGAGCATTATTTCTATGTTGAAGCTTGTAAAGATGTTTGCTGATCTTCTGCTATCTGAGAGGCTGCTTGTATTCTGAGTAGTGAAAGTCTTTTGTACTAATAGATCGACCTGGTGATTTTTCTTCCAGCTGTTTAAGTGAGAAATAGGCTTTTGCATAGTCTGATAAAACACTGCTTTTGCAATATTTTTATGTGGAAAAGACTCAAATGCATTTTTCTGTTGCATACTTTTCTTCCTTGTTGCAAATATGTTCACCTGCAACACTGCAAATACCCTTTTAATACACAGAAGATGTCTTTGTTCTTCTTACCACAGTTCGTATTCATATTAAGGGCGGCTGAGTTTCAGTACTCCAGAGCTGTTTCAAATGTGTTAAACCATTCTGCGTTTTCAGTATTTTTCAGATATCATTGTATTCTACACTTAAAAAGCATAGTTATCTTGGGAATAACTTTTCCCTCTCCTGACCCCTCCTTCCTCGTTAGTTAACTGTTTTAATTTCTCCCCTTTTCCTTCCTTGCAGAGTGGGATCACGGGAGGTCGCTGGTGTGCGCCTGGCCGACGCGGTGCAGTTCTTCAGCCCCACGGGGGCTGCTGGCAGTCCGGAGGAAGCGGAGCCTTACACCACCGAGAAGCTCAGCCGTGTTCCAGGAGGCTACGTACCTCTGACTGAACCCTGCCAAGTAATGACAGTGGATTTCAACAACCTGCAGGTAATGACTTTTACATCCTTTTAATGCACGGTATGTAGAAACAAAGCCCTGCATATTAGTTTTTCTTGAGCCTCTTTTTTGCTTTTAGTACCCTGAATTAACTGCTAGCCTACTGTGGGATGAAACAAGTACCAGCTTCAATGCAAGAAACAGGAACAAGAATGCAGCAGGTGCATTTTAAATCATTCATGTAGTTGTGGAACTGATATAGCTAATTTCTCTAAAGTTTATAAAGAGTCTTTAAGGGACTCTTGAAAATCTGGCATCAAATGGCAGCAATTATTGATGGGAGGTATGAAAGGAGATAGAGAAATTACCTTTTCCCCATTCAGCAATCTTGATTCAACCTTTCAGTTGCTGTGGTGAAATCCTATGGTATTTTTATAATATAGCATCCTAAAATATGGTAGCATTATTTTGTGTATCTTACGTAAATTTCATATACCAAATATACCTGAGCTGTGAGGCAGAACTCTCAGCTGAGCTTGCTAAGAAGATAAGTTATCTGACTACAGCATGTTTCTTGCTCACTGACTTATGGTGAGGAATTAAGATTGAAATGCTGAATCAGAGCTTAAAATGGATTCAGGTAAATAAACATTCTGTGCTTGTGCCTGGGAATGGTGGTGTTTTGAAACAATAGCTTTTTGTAGTTGCCTTATCAGATATTGTGAGCTTAAGGATGAAATAAGACAGGACTCCCCAGTACACCGCTGGAAACCATCCCTCTAACCTAATGTGGCTTTTTCCTGATTCTGTAAAGCAGACATACATGAGGTGCCTGCTCTAAAGTGTCAGTGTGCTGGTAGGAGTGTGTTAAAGAGTAAAGGACACTCTAAACTGTTTCATAAATTATCCTTTAAAATTTCTGGTTAAACTAACTGGAGATGTCTTGAGCTGTTATAAGAAAAGGTAAAAGGAAGCAATGCAGTTATTTGGAATGTCTGGGTGCTCCTGGTTTGTTTTGACTTTGTCGCTGGGCAAATATGGCAGTCAAACACTGGAAGCCCGGTGTCTCATTCGCCCAACATGATGACTTGATGTCCCAACAGTTCAGCTAAGGAAGATAACACTTTCTCATATCAGAATACAGTAAAAACCCTCTGATATGCTTACCAGCAGCAGCAGAATTGTCTATTAAAGATGGAAATTAAGATATAAAAATGAGTAGTAATTTTAAAGACTATTTTGTCAACACTTCAATTAGAAGGATATTACACTTCTGCTTGTGTTAGTTATCCAACCCTAGGTTGACAGAATAAAGACCTAAAACACAGTTTAATAGTATTTCTCAAATCTCAAGCTTAGTTATAAGGGACTTCCAAGCAACTGAGTTTTGCTGATTGCTTTTAGTAGCAAAGTAATAAAAGCAAAGTTCCCCCAAGGCAGGGAGATGAGATGTGGCTGTAATCGCCGGCTGCAGATGTTTGCAGCTGGCAAGGCTGCTGCCTAGATGTGTTTGCTGGCAGCAGATCAGTGTTGCTGGGTGTGGAAGCGAGTCTACCTTGGCAGCCGCTAATTACAACTGATTTCTCACTTAGAGGCCCTGAGCTCTTGCCGGGAGTTATGGATACCAGCTCTTCCTCGTTCTGAGAAGTTACCGTGCATGTACAATGTCAGAAAAATTTTGAATTGGGACATAGATTTGACTGCATTTTCTGTAGCTTTTCTTTTTACTTGTAGTCCCATTCATCTTTGAAATGCAAGTAATTTTTCTTTCTCACTTGCACGCTATACATGGTATATTATTGTGGTATTTTACCACTTGACCATGTAACTATTCTTTGACTCATTAATTATGTAGATAAAGTATAATGCCTTGTGTATTTGAGCTGCCCTAGTCTGTAATTGCCAGGAGAAAGTTTAGGGATGTGAGGGGACAATACAGCACAAGCAGCGTAGCAGAGAATAAGAGTTGATGAACTACTGATTGGAATTGTTAAGTGTTGTAGTACAGCTGTATCTTGTGGCCTGCAATAGCTGTCAGAACTAGAGGGAGAAAATTTTGTGGAATAATTGGAGACTTCTTCTTTAGGAGGAAGTATGTTTTTGAGTAGCTATCAGATCCCAAAGATGCACATGCTCACTCTTCAGGCTGCCTTGCTTCAGGGGGCTTACTTGGCCTGTTTCCATTCTGGACAGAAATACCCAGCAGCAAAGCATTTTTTGAATAGCAGTGAGAACTTCACTAACATCTTGCAGTTTTGATGTGTACATTGTTTGGCTATTTCTCAATTGTTAGAAGAGAAGGAAATAAACTAGGAGAATAAGAATAAAAAAAGAACAGTGAAGAATGGGAGAGCTATTAATATTTTGGGGGATGGAGCTTCCGGCTCCTATCCTGCCCCTTGGCCCAGTTACTTTATTAAGAAGCAAGTTTAGAGAGGACAAATAACAGAAAAAGCTGAAAGGCTAGGGTATTTCATGCAATTTCTTGTTTAGTGTTTTTAAATGTGTATTTTTAGGTACCCATGTAGTTGTTAATGCCTAACGGATACATACGTAACTGAACTTGTATGTAGGAAGGAAGGAGGTCCCAACTGTGGTAGATATTAATGTTGGTAACTTGTAGGCACTTATGAGCTTCAAGATTCTGTTGAGTAGTCTCGTGCTCCAGCCGATGGAGGGAAATCTGAAGCTTTAGTAGTTTCTCTAAAGAAAAATATTATTATGGTAAGAAACTCTCACTTCGTTTCTCTTCTTCCCCTCTGGCCAGGAGCTGAAAAGCCTTGCAGTTAGGAAGCCTTGGAAGCTGAGCCTGCCAGTCACTCACGGAGGAATCCTAGATGCTGTGGTGGTCTGGTTTGTTCTGCAGCTCGATGATGAGCACGCTCTGTCCACAAGTCCCAGCGAGGAATCCTGCTGGGAACAGGCAGTCTACCCTGTACAGGATCTCCCTGGTATGTCCTGCATATTCTTCTGTTGCAGCAATGTAAACTGATTTCAGTTTGTTCTTGATCTAGTCTGTTTATCCCTGAGGCTTGAAGCAGCCTAGGTTCAGGGAAAGTAAATGGCAGAGCTGTGTGGCTGACTGGTTGTGGGCAAGTTTGTGGGCTGCAGTGCCCAGCCCCTGCAGCAGGTCTTGCAAATAGGACTCTGCTGTGAAGCCCCTAAAGAGCCTGTGCTCTGCCGTACTCAATAGCTTGAGTGGAAGTGTAATGGAGGGAAGAGGTTTTAAATCTGCCACTGAACGAACCGATTGTCAAACGGTAGCCCTTCTCTTACAGAATTCTGAGTTTTGTTTTACTTTCTAAAAATATACAGAGTATATGAAGGCCATCTTGAACTGGATACCATGCATGTTCCAAGATGGTTATTTTTAAACTCTCATCTTGTCTAAACCATAGGTATTGTTTTCAAAGTAAGTAAAAATTCATTTTTATAAGAAGTATTAATGCTAAATAATACTTAACATTTTTTTGTCCAAGACCTTCTTCATCAGTATGTCTTGATTCAGTAGTGCTCTTGGCACAGTAATTTCAAAACAAATCTTTCTGTGGTAAATGCAAATTAAATGTATTGTCCCAGTGTGGGACAGCCTAAGGTGGAGCAGGGGAATAGAGGTGTGAGGTTGTGCTTTTCCTGTGGAGTGCAGGGCAGCTGCCTCAGTGTCAGTGCCTGTCACAAAGTAACAGCCTTGGCTTTTGTGCTGTGGGCCCAGATTACTCTGTGGAGAGCGGAGATACTGTGACGATAGAGGTTGCCTGCCAGGACTGCTACTTGAAGATCCAAAAGGTTTCCTTGGGGCCTCTGGAATGTGGGATGGACTTCAGTAACAGAGACAACACCCTGAATTTGAGCAATGAGGCTGAACTGTGTAATGCCCTGGCTGGTCTTCAAACAACCGGTGAACAGGATGCCAGAGGTCAAGTGTGTGTGTTGGAATCCACAGAAATTGCCCTGCTGAACAACATTCCCTACCATGAGTGCTTCAGAGCTGCCATGGGCAAAGTGCTGTCGTCGCTAAATCCAAGCAAGGACTTGCAGACCATGGATGTCGATGGACGTGGTAGTGGGTTGAACCATGAAGAGAGTCAAAGCAAGAGCTCTCTGGATGCAGCTCCTGATCCTTTCTACATATTAGATGTGTCTGAGGGCTTCTCTCTCCTGCCAATTATAGCTGGCAAACTTGGATCAGTTAAAGCTTACAGTTCTGTTGAGAAAGAACAGCATCAAACAGCCCTTAACATGATTTCAGAAGCTAACAATTTCCCTAAGGAAACATTAGAATTTTGGCTCAGTCACTTAGAAGATGAAAATGTGGTATTACAGAGACCAAAATCAGACAAGCTGTGGAGTATTATCATCTTGGATGTTATAGAGACATCTGGTTTAATCCAGCAGGAGGTGATGGAAAAGGCTGCAATATCCAGGTACTGTATCAAATTTGTAAGTATTCAATAAAGAATGGTATTCCATAGTGGAATCCCTGGTGGTGTGGAAACTTTTTCAAAAGTTGCTTCTAAGTACAAAATTATCATGTTGCTTCTGCAGAGTAGAAGTCTGTTTTCAAAACAGACTGAAGTCATGCTTCAGGATTGCATTTCCTGCAATCTCCTTGGTACATGACCATTGTGCATATGTATTTTAAAGAAGTGTCAAGACTTCATTTTTCATAGACTTGCAGTCTGCAAGAGTGTGCATGGGTGGATCTTACTGCCTGACCCTGGGGGAAGCTTCCAGGATAGCAAGCAGCGTGGTAACAGCTCATGGAATTTTGAAGCAAGACTGAAGTTAGGGAAGTGCACGTCTATGTGCATGTTAAGGTATTTCTGGGATGGACACTGTTGAGACAAATACTAGAACAGAACACTGCTACTAGGACAGCTGAGGGGTCCAACAAAGGCAGCTGTTACCTGAGGGAAGGAAGGAATGCAGAGCAAAGGAGAAATGAAATGATGGAAATGCATTCTCAGGGCTTGTGAGCAGTTGACCTCAGGGCGGGAGCTCATTTGTCTTGAGTGTAGCTAACAACCTTTCTTTCCTCCTGATGTGCTGCAGTGGTGAAATCTCTCTCTCTACAGATGTTTACTTCACAGTGGAGGAAAGATATTCCCACAGTATGTGTTGGTTTATGGGATGCTTGTAGAGTCCCAGTCTCTGCTACTGGAAAGTGCTGTTCAAGGAACAGAGCCAACTCTTGGGTTTAATATAGCCCCTTTCATCAACCAGTTCAAGGTATGGAATTGGTGGATGTTTTCAAGAATAGTTCTAAAACCTTCATCTGCCTAGCTGTTTAGTTTTAATATAAAAAGCAAGGAAACTGATGAAGTGAAACTTTGATTTTGTTATGGTAACTGAACAGGAGAGATTTATGTGACAAGTCAGGCAAAGACCTCAAACTAAAATAATTAAGAACATCTATATTAAATTGTGAGAAATTGCGGTAGACAGCGATGGAAGACAAAAGTGATTGTGCTGTTACCCTAGTTGTGTCCTAGCCTCTCCATTTCAAAAGAGACTAGAAGGGTATATTTGGGCTTTCTTCCTTCCAGGCATTACACTAATTCCTAGGAAACGTGGCATTAGGCTGGGGTTTTAAGCTTTTCCCTGTTCTGTAGCTACTGGCAGCCTGTAATGGTGGTATGCTTGTAGGTACCAGTCCGTGTGTATTTGGATCTCTCCACGCTGCCTTGTGTGGCCTTGAGCAAACCTGCTGAGCTCCTGAGGCTGGATCTCATGAACCCCCTCTTGAACAGCTCCAGCAGAGAAGTGAAGGTGAGTCGGGGATGGGCAAACGTGGGAGCGTGTCCTGCTCATCCTGGCTGCAGAGCTCATCCTGGCTGTGGGCTGGAACACAGCATCTACTGACTCCATCCTTCATGGAATGGGTTGGAAGTGGGTTGAATTACTCTGTCTTCAGACTTCTTTTGAAAGGTGTAAATGGCTAAACTAACATTTTAAATATTTCTAGGTGCAGGTTTGTAAGTCTGGTCAAGTTACTGCAATTCCCTTCTGGTATCACATCCATCTGGATGAAGAGCATAGCTTGAGTACATCGGATAAGAGTTCGCACTGGAAGCAAGCTGCTGTTGTTCTAGATGAGCCCATCCAAGTTAAGCTTGGAGATGAACTTGTGCTCCATGTCCAGCATCATAAAAGCAATATTAGCATTACAGTAAAGCAGTGAAGAAAGTCACCTCGAAGAGGATGTCAGATTAATTATCTATGCATACACAGATTGTTCAGTGTGATGGATGTTAATTTATATTAAAGTCTACATTTTCTCTACTGCTGCATGAGACTTTTATTGCTATAAACTGTTTAAAAAATTTAACTGAAACTCGCAATACAATGCTGTTCTACTAGCTAAAGATAGTGTTTTTCTTCCATCTGGAACATTGATTGCAAGCTATTATGGTTTTGTTTTCTGGCTTCTAAAAATAAGAATTACTGTACAGTTATCTTCTGTGAGTGAAAAGCTGCTGATCAATAAATTCCTGCTATTTAGGATATTCAGCTATTGAGTAGGTCTGAATAGTGCACAGATCTTACAGTCAGGGCCCTAGCAGTGGGGGTAGTGAACATGTAGCTGGCAGCAGCAGGCACTGCTGCACCTCTGAGGCTCTCTAAAAGAGAAGTGACTTTTTTTTAAAAAAAAAGTTTTATTTTACTTGAAGTGTATTGAGATCTTTACTTACAAGTGTAGGTCAAGTTGTACCTAATCACTAAGACGTAGAAGTCAAGTTTGGAGTGGGGGGGAAGCTAAAACCTCTATTGTTATAATGCCATTTCCTGCTACCCTTTCCCTTGCACCATCCCAAGTGGGGTGTAAGTCAAAGAGGAAGGCCTGTGGGAGGAGGTGAACAGGCCCCTCTCTTTGCTTAGAGAATTGCAGCTTGGCTGTTAATGCACAGGGCCTGAGGGCTGGGTTGGTTGGTTGTGGGTTTTTTTGTTTTTTTAAAGGCTCTTTCAAAGCTGGCCTAGAATAAATAGTCCACAGCCGAGAGGGCAGTGCTTTTCTGTAGCATTACACTTAATAGCAGCTGCATGCTACTTAAGTTTCTTCAGTTAAATTCCTGCTTCTAACTCTCGTGCTTTATCTGCTTGTTTGCCTCTGTACAGAAAGGGGGGAGGAACTAGAATACAGCTGCAGTTATTGGTGCATCTCAGCTGCACTACTCTATGATTTTCCTAGAATCTCAGTGTGAGCAGGAATGAGCAGGAACACCTGCAGTTAGTGGCTGCTTGTTCTCCACCCAATTCTTTGGGAAAGAAGGATAAGGACATATGTCATTTTTCAAAGTAAAGTAAGTGGATACTACCCTCTAACTATGAGTTGCAGGAATAGCAATGTTCAGGACTGAGAACAAGACTTCAAAGGAGAAGTTTAGAAAACACTGTATAAAACTTTGAGGGAAACAAAATTGTGAAAAATAACTTGAAAAGCAGCTAGTTCACCTGCATACCATGGGTGTATATAATAGTATATTATTGTAGTAATACTTGTTAGAAGAGGGGACAGGGTAGAATTAAAACTTTTTCAAAATAGTGAGGTATGATCTTCTACGTGCTGCAACTTGACTGTATAAGTACCACCTCCCAGGCAAGTGGAGCTCAGACAGGTTTATTCCCCTCAAAACAGAGTTTATGTATGTTTGCTTCTAGGTACCTCCTTATGTATTATTAAAAGCTATTTCTTCCTATGCTCCAGTCTTTCTACTACCAGCCCTGAAGTATCCAAAGAGGAATGCAAGTGCTTGTCCTTCTCCTTTCTCTGCAAAGACATTTTCCTCATGTCTGTCATTTATAACTTGAGTGACTATAACAGTAAATCAGAGAAAAGGTAGGTAAACAGTTTAAATAAATTTTTTATTCACTTATTTACAAAGGCAATGACTCAACAAATTGAAAAGTATGATTTGCACTTCCTCACTACCTTGAGATACAGCACATACATAGTCAACTATAAAAGATGCAGCCTAGTGAGTAAGGCGCAATATTTACATCACACTAGTACTGCAAAAAGCACTTCAGATGAGTTCACCAGAACAATCGGAACTTAAACATTTACAGAGTAAATGGCAATAATGCTGAAAAGGAAATTGCAGGTTTCACTTAAAGCATCAGTGCGCTAGGTTGGTTTTAGTCAGATTGCAAACATGCAATACTAATTGAAGTCTGTTAAAGTGATAAAAAAAATAATACCCCTCATTTTCTCCGTTTTGCAAAACAGTAACTGTTTGATAAAAGTGTACTTTTTACTGGTCTGAAACCTAATGCTAGTAACAGTATTAGACTAGCTACTTAATTCTACCAGGGCAAATGTCTCTTCCTCCCTAGAAAGGGGGCAAAAAATAAATAATAATTAAAAAAAAAAAATCAACTCTAACATTTGAGTTCAGGCTATACCAGAAGCATAGTACAATACCCACACATACACAAATTTATGAATACAAATTGCTACAAAGGCAGTGGTAAGACAGCCTGCTTTATTAGCTTAAAGAAGTCATCTTAATGGTAAAGAATTTATTGCAACCCCAAACAAAATGTCAGCTTTGATGTTATTTCCATTTTGATATCCTTCAGTTTTTCCTCATCTTTGAGGCTGTAACCATTATTCTCTATTTAGAAAGAAGCCAACTGGAAGATATACTTCCAAAACGCATCTTCCTGCCTGAATGACCTAGCAGGAAAATACGAGCTCCAAGGACAACAGCGCTGGAGCCTTCATGTGCTGGGCAGGGGCCTTTACAGCAATGTGTGGAGGGAAGGCTTTGTTAGTCCAGATTCCTTCCTGATATTCTGTATTAATTACCTTCCTGAAAGGAGGTGCAGTTAGCTGAGCGGGAGAGAGAAGAAAATAGTTCCTGTGTTTCTTCCCTACTCTACTGCCTGCTGGAATATGGAAGTTACCATTGTAAGAGGTCAATCAAAGCTAAGACCAACTGTATTTTATCCTTTAGTGTTCTGGAAATTATTTTTATCCTCATCACTAATACTTCATGTAGTAGAAGAGCAAAGCATTTTTCCAAGTGTCTTTTGTATTAATAGAAATCAATTTCATTCAGTATGCTCATCTTTTCATACAACATAGGTGTGTAAAAGATCAGCAGTCTCAGGATGTGATTTGCAAATCTGCACCACAATTTACAGTGTGCGTGTTTTACCTTGAGGGGGACCAGAGCTCCTCCATTCTGAATTCAGAGGTAATGGAGCAGTTACAGCCACATCCTCTTCCCACCCTCGTGGCAGCTCTTCCCAGCTACTCATACCTTCCCCAGCAATAGTTCAGGGGAAAGGACATGTGGGGTGAGGGCACCGGAGGCTCCTGGCCCCACTCCAAGGAGGGAGCTTAGCTTGTGTCCAGCGCTCTCTCCGACGAGCTGGGCTGCAGGTCTGGCGCCTCCGCTGTGTTACAGATACCGTCACTGACGGGCACTGTTGTGGGGGTTGTGAGAGGGGTCACGGTGTGTCCAAAGCCCTGGTAATGACCCATGGGGGAGGAGGGCATTGAAGACGCATCGGAAATGGGATCTTGAGTAGATGAAGACAGTAAACTCGTATGCTCATTCTGTTCATGGTCCTCAGCAAAAAACATTTTCCTTGGCTGGCCCAGAACTGTTCTTCCTAGAATTAAGCCAAACGAAATTGCCTTTTAATAGGTGCAGCTGTATACTGAAATTTTTGCTGACAATGTAAGACACATGCTGCATTAACAGATCTATCTTTGTTTTTAAGAAATTTTACATGGAAATTGATAGTCTAAATTAAGAGAGATGTCTTTTCATTAGAAAATCATTCTTTTCTACCAGAAATATCCCAAATTTACCTGAGATTCATCTTTTAAAAAGAAAATTAAGAACTAGACTCTTCCTTGAACAGGATTACTGGAAATACTGCATATGCCATGGAAATTGGCTGCCATTATCAACGTACTAGAATGATGCCTAACAGGATAAACTGAATCAAGAATACACATACAAATCTTTGTTACTCACCAACATTTCGAACTTGTTCTGATATATCTGCCCTTAGATCAGAAATATCCCACATTGCAAGAAAGGAGTCAAAGCAGGACCCTTCTTCAGCTTCCTGAACATAAGGTTTATAGGAAAAACTGTAGTGATGAGCAATAGCAGCCAGGAACATCTCGACACAGATGATAAAATCCTGCAACAAGGAGCAAGATGGCAAAATACTATTTAATCAGTCACAACTTGAGAAAAAATGTTTTTAGGCCTCCTATAACATCAAAAGACTGATATTGATTGATTGTCTTGGGAAAACAGCATCAGCTACTTATCCCCAGAGCTGCGATACTCGTGGAGTCCTCCGGCAGCCACGTGTACTCCACACACACATGCACCACAGTCCCCGCCTGGCAGACTGACTCACAGGAAGGGAAGCTCCAGCAACTCTATGATGGATTATTTGGGGAAGAATTGCAAGGACAGCCAAAAGAAACACTTCAGCAGGCCAAGCTTCTCTTCCCCCCATCCCTCCCAGGCAACATATGAATATAGAGGGTATGTGTGGAGTGAGTGGCTGATGCTTAATCCAATTTATAGCAAACCCAGTTCTAATCTAGCTGCTGTTAGTCACGTATGCCAATATTTGAGTTCTGAGGATTAGCCAGGCATTTTGCATAGAGTAATTAGTCTTAGGGGGTAACTGTCTGCTCCCACCTGCAGGCCTGTAGCCACAGCTTCCACGCTTTGCCATTCCCAGGTGCGCTTCTCGGAGATAACGCCGACTTTCACCAGCAAGGCAATGAGAACCGCTTGCCTGCAAGGATTAGCGCTTATTACTCAGTGCCGCGTAAAGGCCGCCAAACACGACACAGACGAGAGCCCCGGCTGCACTGTCTCTTTAGATTGTAAGAGCAACAATACAAGACAAATTTGGCTGAGAAAGGAATCATTCATCCATGGTCCTACAGACCAATAGAAAAGTCAACACCAGAAAGTTGTTGTCCCAGTTATTAGAGCAATTTGCCTACCATAATATTACTGCTGCCCACACAGTAACAGTAACAGTCAAACGCAGCTGATTGGGAACACTGCTTAAAATATAGAGGACTATCTTATTCTTAAAAGTCTTTTAATTGCTAAGCAAGCAAAAAAAAATGCAAGTGAAGATTCTAAAACAAAATAAGCTCTTGAGAATCATCTGGACACTTGTAAGTCTAAAAAAAAAAAATCTCAAGTGTATGTCCAAGATCCTGATTCATATCTGAAGTATCCTTTCTCCCCTCACAGCACTTGAACAATATGGTAGATTTTTGAGGCATCTCGCCAAGTCACACACACAGCTTTTTCAATTCTTTTACAAAATTCAAGAAAAACAAAAAAGTAACAACTGAATCACTTACCAGAAAGAAACAAAAACTACCATCTTCACACAAAGGAACTTGCCAACAGGCTGGATAGGGTTCAATTCTTCACGTAGCACTTTGTAAAACAGCACTAGACAATACATAGCAAACTAATGAGAAAAAAAAAATGAAGAAAATCTTTCAAATACTTGTGTACTTTATGAAAGTAGTTTTACAGCATCTTTTCAATTACGAGAAATGTATCACTGTATGATACAAGCTGAAAAAGCTGCCTATTTTAGAAAAAAGACATTTCAGATTTAACAGATCTATACCTTTCCATCTGAAGGCCAGACTTTTTATTTTGCCTGGACTTGTATTTCCGAAATACATCATTGTCAGACAGAAACTGAGGCCATCCAGCCAAACAGTAATACAAAGCATAGGGAGCTATTGTGAAATGTTTTCATTGCCAAGTGACTCTCCAGTGACAAGTGACAAAGCACATGCACAATCAAGCTTCTGTTGAGAACATCCAAAAGGTTTTCTCTTTATGACAAATGAATATTCTCTTTATGAGAAATGAATATGCAATGAATGCCTAGGCAATGAATGCCATCTTCACTCCAAATCTCAACAATTTTACCTTCTACAGATAAAAGGCAAGCAATCGAACTAATCTCTCATCTCCCCTTTACAGGCATCCTTGCCTATTACAACTAAATTTCATCAAGCCAACCAGGAGGACACAGCAGAGCACACACGACTGCAGGAACTGCTGTCACAATAGGAAGCAATGACAACTCCTTCCACAACAGTGACCCATTGAACACGGCAGTGGCACTAGCAGGAGACCACCCTTCTCAGATGAGACTTCATGGCTGCTGTTGTCTAGAGAACTGAAGTATTGAAAGAAAGGAGCCAGAGTTGCTGCTCTCTCCTCTTGCAAAGGTTCCTGTGCAATAGGCTCTACATGAAGCACAGGAGTCATTCCTCAGCATTCCCAGCAAGCCACCAAGCGCAATCCCTTGTGTCCAAATCGTTACTTTCAGTTCCAGGGCTGACACCTTACATTTTCCCTGTCACCTGGCTGCTCTGTCCAGCCTCTTCTTGACATCTGCAAACAGAAACTTCCACACCAGAACAATTTTCCTGCTCTAGAACACACACATGCAAAGTCTGTTAAGATAAATTTCATCCTAAAAGCTAAACTGTTAGACAATCTGCAGCTAAGTTCTTGCCCTAAAATACAGAAATAAGCAAAGAAACAAGAGCTTGTAATTATGCAGTCCTATCCTTTCAAAGGAAAAGTGCAAGACAGGCGAGAACCTCGGTGCTTAAGGTGCTGTTTCCATTTCTCAGGCGCCTGCTACCACTACCTTCCTGTCACGGTATTTTCAGCAGAAGCCCCTGCTGAGCCAGCGCATGCAGTTGAGCGGAGGCCAACAGGGCAAGGAAGTCACCGTTTGGTTCTTCACAGGGGTAAGCTCGCAGCTCTCATCCCTGACCATTCCCCCATCAAACAGCTCAGAATCCAGAGCTGTACTCTGGACTGAGGACATGTTTTTGCAGGTTAAAAGTAAAAGCAACACAATATTTCCCGGTTTCCTACTGCATTCTATGCATGTATTTAACAGGCATGGAAATTAACAGACAAAACCAACAGCCTCTACTCATCAGAATTACTCGATATTAACACAATTAGTCTCAATAGTATTACCCAAATGTTTTCTTGCATTAACAATTACAGTTACTTAAAAGAGCAGAAAGATGCACTTGATACTCACTAGCTGCGACATGTTGTTAAGTATAACCAAGTAAGTCCAAGCATTGTTGAAGCTGAAGTTTCCTTCATCATATACTCCCACCAGCTCACAAATTCTGGAAGTATTTTTAGAATTAATCACTATGTAGTAAACGATCAACATTGATCAGCTGTTAGAATTAAAAATCTGTTTTGGTACTCAGTATCAGCATTTGGAATCTGTGCATGAACTGCAGTCTTCAGCAGTATACAGGATGGCAAGTTTATTTTGTATCCACAAAGGAAACGGTGTCTTAATATCATTACATGTGTAGGTAAATTAATTTGATTTTTAGCACAGAAAATGAAAGCAAAGATACAGGGCTAACATATCCTATGTTAAATTAATTCAACAATTAAATACACTTTTATGTTAATCTGTTAACAATACTTCTTGAGAACGGCAGATTTTCACAGTGCCATAAAATTAACGGTCAATAACTACCAATGCAAAGTTTATAAAAAGCTTACAGCAGCAACATGCATAATTGGCTGCTAGTGCTTTACAGCTATGGTAGATTAGATGAGACTGCACAATAGCAGTGAAGCCTAACACATGAAAATCTTAATAAATTTAAGTAGTGTAAAATCTGTCTTTAAAAATTCCCAATGGCTAAAACCAAAATAAAAAGAGACAAATAAAAAGATCTCTAAAATGAAACAGAGATCAGTGCTATAAAAAATATCTTTCCAACATAAACACTACTTTAAATCCTCCCCCACTTGTTTCAGCAGCAGGCATTAAATATTTATTATTCCAATTCTGCAAATAGTCAATTGCTGTAGAGAAACCATAAAGAAATCACAGGCCAATGCAAATTGCTCAGACCCACTTCAAATACAACACAACAAAGCAGGTACTCTTTTCAACTGCATCCATTCAATACATAGAACATTATTTTTTTTCTCCAGTGTAACTCAAAATTACATTTTGAAGATACATCTTAATTATTTACGAGCATACTTACAAAGCAATAATGGTAGTAAATGGTCTGACAACAGTGTACTGCAAAACACCCAGTTTACATCTAAATAACAGAACTCTGTAAGAGAAACAAAATTCATTGTATGAGAATTTACAGAAAAATCATTTATGGAAGTTTCACATCCTCAGTAGTTAAAATAAATTAGATATTTATTTCAAAGTATATAGCACATGTGTGCACAGTGGAATAGACCCAGACTGTACAGATATATAAATGAAAATATTCAGCAATTCTTTTCCTTCAGCCATGGAAAAACTCTGCCTGTGTTAAAGTAACAAGAAAGTAATTTTGTACTGTTTTTCAAGAGGTTTAAGAATCACTCACATTCAGAGTTTTTCTTTTACATCTTAAAATTCTAAATCTAAAAAATCCCTTGAGAGAGAAAGAAAACAGCAGATCAAGCATGCAGAAATACAAACAGTTCGTGGGTATGTGGCTTTTCTTCCTTGTGCTGTGAAAGTAAAAGCAATGACTACACAGTATCAGTGAACCTGTATTTTTCACAAACATTATAGGACAGGAAAGAAAACAAATTCAATGCAGATCTTTCTGAAAAAGACAACAAGGAGTATTTTTCAAAAATAAGCACGTGTTCTTCGGCACCATTCAAATCAACTGAGGTTAACAACTTAAGGGTGATTTCTAGCACAATGAGGTGAAAAGACATCCAAAGCTACTTGCAGTAGGTGTTCGTAGGTGATAACAAGATGCTTGCAAACCATGAAGTGATTTTCTCAAGCAACAACAATTATGCTACTATATATTTGTACATGATTATACAGTTTAATATGTTAAAGACACATATACTCACTCTCCCATAGCCCATGATGGACAACAACACAGGGGAGGCAGATGTCTCTGCTGATCTTTGGCTTCTATTATTAATACCAGGTTTGGATAACGGTTGGTTAGGTAATTTGAAAGAAAAACCATAAAATTATAGATGACATAGGCTTCATAGCACTCTCGACATGTATCCACATATATCGCAATGTTGGGGTATTTCAAAGCTATCCACTGTAAAAAGACAGATAAAACAAAAAGTTACAAACAGGAAAGGTAAAACTGATTCCAAAGACAATACTGGCTGGTTAGTTTAGCCAAATAATACATCTAAGTAAGAGCTACAAGACTTGAAGCATCTCTTCAGTAACACGTGTGTGGTGCTACAGCTAGCAAGTAGCATTTTATAGAAATACAAGTAGAACTTCAGACTGTACCTCTACCTCCCTCCAGCGAAAGCACGCTTAAAGCGCAGCACACAAAATGCTCTCTTCTTGCAAACACACAATTTAGCCCCTTTGCCCATACAGTTTAGCCCTTTAGCCCTAAAATCACTAAGAATACAGTTGCCTATACATGACCTAGTCCAATTAGGTAGACACAAAATAAAACTGCTCAAACTGGCATATTCAATGTCAACGGAGATTTGTGAAATACATTTTCAGTTCTTTGGTACAAAGTCTATTTCTTTTCCTATCTAATGTGCAAACATTTGTTCTGGCATGTCTGCAAGCCGCAGAAGACAGCAGCAGATTAAAGTGGAAATCAACCATCACGACCCCATGCAAAAATTTCAGACAGAAAACTTCCGTGTTTGTTTTGTAAAACTGTGATTACGGGTCAGTTGCCAGAGCTTTCAGTGTGAATTTTATTTCAGATTATTATATTGCTGTTGCACTGTTCCATGCAACTTGTGCTATTTTTTCACATTTACTAAAGGCATGGAGTCTGAGTCTATTATGTTTCCCTCCACTGCACTACAGGGAACGTGGGTCTACAGCAAAGTGCTTCACATCCTCATCCCAGCTACAAAGACATCTGCTGCAACACCTCTGTGGAAGAGGTTATGCTGGATCTAACAGCTGAGAATACAATGTTGGAATCCTAAAAGAGAACTGTATGTTCAACTCAGAATATATGCTCCAGGAAAAGGCAATATATGACAAAAAGGCCATAAAATACAAGAGTTTAGCAAAAGATTTTCTTATGATGTCAGAACTGCTCTTGAATGCTACAGCCCAAGTATCAGGGTTTTTTTCCTTCCAAAAGAAAATTCTATGTTTGAAATTACAATTTCTACCTGAAGTAGTTCATATTTCCCATAGGAAACAATGTTACTTTCTTCCCCACTCCCAGTTACTAGTTTTTCAAAAGCACATATGTAAGAGAATAGGTACATTTTGCCTAACACAAGAAAGGTAAGGCACCAATTTTTTTGAGACTGCATCTGGATCAACCCAATCAACAGGTTGCTTACTAAGCTCTTACTGAAGTAGGAAGGACCAAAATAAGGCACCTGATGCCGTTCACACACCTGTCGTAAGGGTCACTCAAGAACAGACAGGGTACAGCTAAGATGGATCACAAAACCAATCCAACAAACTCTAAAATATAACATAATATTGTAAAAATGGTATTTTAGATGCCCTCCATAAGCAGGAGCACATTGTTCTTTCTACAAAAGATGACACCAGTTTCTCTCACCTCTCAAAGCAAGGAAAGAACCATTTTATTGATCTGTTAACACTTACACTGTCTAAGCTGTAAATCGGCACCATCCATAGAATCCTGTTAAGATGACAAAGGAACAAGTATTACTGAAAGCATTTTTAGTCTGAATTAGATTTAACAGCTGCAGTACAAGTAAAATGTGAAATGCTACCTTATAATTGGTTTCTGTAATTCAGGTTGAGTGTAATGAACCAAGTGCTGTAGTATTCCCCAGAGAGAAATGGGGATAGTCATTAGTAGAAATATCCCAGCGATAAACCATGCCTTGGTATGGATTCCAACCTTCCAAGGAAAGAGAACAGGGCACGATCAAAGTTTCAGCATTAATACTTTCAAGTTAGTAGCACAAGAAGGGAAATATTTTTTCAGTGCTCTTTACCATTTATGTATTCTTAGGATGGGACATTAAATATATACCCCAAATTACATTTAGTTTTTCTAACCCCTGTTTTTGAATACATAAACTTCTGTTATCTCTTGAGCCTAGAGTAGAGCAAAATATGAGAAGTCTTGCAAGCCACCACCATCAAACACAAAGTGTTCTAGAAAATTGTATCAATACTCATTATTTAGAGCATTCCTTTGCTTTAGTCTGGAACTTTGCTTGGTTTAGAGCTTTATAATAAAGCTTCTGGCAGTTTCAGGACTTGAAGAATCTTTAGCTTTAGGATCAAGTTTCAACTAGCAATATATTGAAACTAGTTTCAACTAACAATTTGAAATGTACATTTCAAATTACATTTACATACCTATGTATGTGCTTATATCTGTTAAAACAATCCTTTTAAATCCAAAAGCTTTAAAGTTCGGTATGAGCAATCCCCAAGCACCAGAAAGTGATAAACAGGGAATACTGTTTTTAAAACAGATTTGCTTTTTCTTTTAAATCCTGGGAAGTTTCTCCATTCCCCTGCTGTACACCAAAACTTCATATCCTCTATCACATTCCAGTTTAAAGATCTGAGAGTTTCTAAGAAACTTCCCTGGCAGTACCAGATCTCGTTATTTTGAAGTGTCAGATAATGCTTTGATGTAACGGGGATAGAATTCACTACTCTGAACACGGGAAGGTGTCAGAACAGGGCACTCGGGTTACAAAACAGAAAGTCTCAAACACACCAAAGACAGATTTTACTTTTCAGTGCATAAAGTTACGCCCGGAAAAGTGACGCCTGGTGGAAGGAGCCCCTGCTAGGCAGGCTAATGTACACCGCAGGCCTAGTGTCCGCCCCCGCCCCGCGGAGGGGCCGCCGCGCGCCCGCACAGCTCCGCGGCCGCCGCGCAGGCTGCGCCAGGGCGGCCCTGCCCGCCGCGCCGCACGGCG